ATGAGTACATAGGACATATGCTTGAAAAAACTTTACAATGAAATTTGGCAGGGTTATTGAAAATGTATAAACTTAGATGAAAGAAAATATTATAAAAATAAAAGAGCATTTTATCAACATTTACTGAATGCTCAAAGTACAACCAAGTTTTGGGGTAGCAGTATCAGTATCGAAAACAGCCAAACTGATTAATCTCGAAAACGGAATTTCCAGAATAACATCGAAATTGTAAAAAAAGGAATTGTATCGAAAATCCAAAAAATAGAATAACCTCGAAATTGTGAAAAAAGGAATAATATCGAAAAGGGACTTTTCGGAATTATATCGAAAAAGAAAACATTTCAAATTTGTTAAAAAAGAATAGTATTTTTAACAAAATGATTTTATGCCCACTGCACATTGGGCCAGAAACATGAAAAAGTGATCAAAATTAATAACTACATATAAAATCAATTTAACAATATTAACATTATAAAATCAATTTAACAATAGTTCTATTCACTAAAACTTAATATTACAACCATTTAAATTTTCTTCAGGTTACTCACTTTTAAAAAAGTTTAAAAGTTTTTGAATTGTTAAAGGTTGGTTTTGCTCATTTTTTTAATTTTTGCTCACTGCTGGCCCACTGTGCACTACCTTGAATGTTAACTAAATATTTTATGTAAACAAAACATAAAATTCCAAAAAGAACTATTAAACACTTACTTTATAAAAAAAAAAATCGTCCTTACTACAAATTCTGATAGAGGGGGAGGGGAAATGCCACCGTGACCCCTCCCCTTATGACGTAGCCAATGTAGATATACCCCCATGCCGTAGCCCATGTTCAATTACACTTGTTAATATATTATTCGCAAATTATATTCATAAGAAATTTTGTAAGGCGTTTTAGGAAACTCGACTAACTTGAAGAATTATTAGTATATATATTAGTGAATAAAATATATGAAGTTTATGTAAGCAAAACATAAAATTCCAAAAAGAACTATTAAACACTTACTTTATAAAAAAAAAATAATCAAAATATATTAGTGAATAAAATATATGAAGAATAGTAAATTTACTAATCTTCTAACAATCTATTTTATGTATAGAAGGTTATTGATTGTACTTTTTATAAAAAGTTCAATCAATAACCTTCTATAAATATACAAGCCCATTTCGTAAAGATTTTGAGGTTAGGTAGGTCGTTTCGGAGAAAATTTCCAGAATAACATCGAAATAAAGAATAACATCGAAATTGTAAAAAAAGGAATTGTATCGAAAATCCAAAAAATAGAATAACCTCGAAATTGTGAAAAAAGGAATAATATCAAAAAGGGACTTTTCGGAATTATATCGAAAAAGAAAACATTTTAAATTTGTTAAAAAAGGAATAGTATCGAAAATCCTAAAAGCAGAATAATCTCGAAACAGCTCAAAAGAGAATAATATTGAAAAAAGACTTACCGGAACAATATCGAAAGTGTGAATAAAGGAATAGTATCGAAATTTCAAAAAACGGAATTTGATCGAAATTGTAAAAAAAGGAACAACATCGAAACGGGACTTTCTGGAATTATATCGAAACTGTGTAAAAAGGAATAAAATCGAAAAAGGACTTTCCAGAATAATATCGAAAAGGTGAATTTTAATAATAGGTTTGAAAATTGCAAAAGCAGAATAAATAGACGGCAGTTTTTTGCGGTTTTTAATTAAGTGTAGTAATTACACTGTATAATTGTATAATATAAACAAAAAGCTCTATCAGTAGAACAAAAAATATCGAATGTTGTGTTGTTGGCTATTTATAAAACGATTCAAAACAAAATGTATTGATTTTATTTACAGTAGGCACTTCACACGATTTTACTATTACAATTATCTCTTGTTATAATTAATACCATTATATGCGAATAATGAAGAAGCTTTCAGAATGTGTTCATTTTTTAAATTTGGATAACTGGTTCCCAAGTTATGACAATCTATGTTGGGCTCAATAACGACTATTTCGCATCAAGATTTGTTGAGTTTTTCTTAAAGAATTATGGCACTAAATTTTGATAATAAATTTATTTTTCATATGCTATCAAGAAGGAATTTTATTGAAGTTCTTATGCTGAATTATTTTTCTTTTTTTCTTTTTTACTAAAGCATTCAATTCTACAAATTATCATTCTCATATTAGGGGCCCCTAGGTAAGAATTCCACTCCTCGTTTACCCATATGGGGCAACTGGATCAAAAGTTATAAAAGCTTCGTTTAAACCGTAAAAATTAACTTTAGATAAAGAAATAGAGTTTTTTCAAACGGTCAGGGTAAACAAATTCATTAACATTTATAAATAACAAGAAAATAGGTAAAAATATTAAGTCTAATTTCTTCTACAGAACTTTGATTGTTCTTGGCCCAATCGCCCATTCAGGACAATAAGGTAAAAATGTAAAAATACACAAAGTTTTCCCATTTTGGGGCAAATTGGGCCAGAGTAAAAAAAACTCTGATAAAACTACAAAAATTAACTTATGTTATAGAAAAAGACCTTTTTCAAACTGTTAGAGTAAAGATTCATTTACATTTATAAATATCAAGAATATATGTAAAAATCTAAGAAAAAATATTTTTCTCATTTAGGGCCGGGAGCCAAATTCTGAAAATTTTTCAGTAATAGCTCAAACCCTAAATAAGTAAAATTTGAACTCTATTTTATGAAGTGCACCACCAATTTTATGAAATATCATGCAAATAGTTTTGTCGTTAACATGGAAATGTGAACGAAGAGTCACATTATACCCGAACTTTATCATATTTTAATTTTACGCGTTGCAACGCGTTTAAGCGAAGTATGATAAAACTCACAAATCCATATTAATGACAAAAACTATGAACATAATATTTCACAAAAGTGGTGGTGCACTTCATAAAATACAATTCAAACTTCACTTTTTTTCAAGCTTCTTTATCCGCTTAAATTGTAAATCAAATCCAAGTAACGCAGTTATAAATAATGTTATTTATCATTTGCAACAACAATGTTGTTTTTATCATAGATAACGTGTTGTATATTAGAAATATTAGTTACATCTTTTGGAAATAATAAAAAAGATCGCCTTTGTTTAAATGCTTGAAAACATTTGCCCTTCAGTGATTTTTTAACAAAATGATTTTAGGCCCACTGCACAGTGGGCCAGAAACATGAAAAAGTGATCAAAATTAATAACTACATATAAAATCAATTTAACAATATTAATATTATAAAATCAATTTAACAATAGTTCTATTCACTAAAACTTAATATTACAACCATTTAAATTTTCTTCAGGTTACTCACTTTTAAAAAAGTTTAAAAGTTTTTGAATTGTTAAAGGTTGGTTTTGCTCATTTTTTTAATTTTTGCTCACTGCTGGCCCACTGTGCACTACCTTGAATGTTAACTAAATATTTTATGTAAACAAAACATAAAATTCCAAAAAGAACTATTAAACACTTACTTTATAAAAAAAAAAATCGTCCTTACTACAAATTCTGATAGAGGGGGAGGGGAAATGCCACCGTGACCCCTCCCCTTATGACGTAGCCAATGTAGATATACCCCCATGCCGTAGCCCATGTTCAATTATACTTGTTAATATATTATTCGCAAATTATATTTATAAGAAATTTTGTAAGGCGTTTTAGGAAACTCGACTAACTTGAAGAATTATTAGTATATATATTAGTGAATAAAATATATGAAGTTTATGTAAGCAAAACATAAAATTCCAAAAAGAACTATTAAACACTTACTTTATAAAAAAAAAATTATCAAAATATATTAGTGAATAAAATATATGAAGAATAGTAAATTTACTAATCTTCTAACAATCTATTTTATGTATAGAAGGTCATTGATTGTACTTTTTATAAAAAGTTCAATCAATAACCTTCTATAAATATACAAGCCCATTTCGTAAAGATTTTGAGGTTAGGTTGGTCGTTTCGGAGAAAATTGTGGTCAAGAATAGAAAATCTTAATTAATTTTTATAACGTGAAACTAAGAGCATTTGGTCAAAAAAAAGATGTCAATCGCTCACGATTATCTCCTCCCTTTCCCCACCCCTACCAACAGTAAGGACGTGATAAATTTAACAGAAACTAGTTTTTAATAGAAAATTTATATCAATAGCAACTCTTTAAACAAAATGCATATTTATTATAAAGCAAATTAAGTATGAAAAATCCTTTTTTATGGCTGTTTTGTGCTGGTCTGTAAAATCTGGGTCTGTGTTTTATATAATCTATAAGGTGTTATATCTTGGAAAGGAAATATTTTCAGCGTATGTTTTTCACATACTTTTTGACGAGCTTATTCCAATTATATAGTTTTTTGTTTAATTTCTATATATTTTTTTGCTGACTGTAACAAGTTATGATCCCGGCTCAAAATGTTTTAGCACTCGTTTTCTTCTTCTTAGTTTTAACCTAGTTAAACAAGTTAAAAGCTAGCTAGACAAGTTAAAACCTAGTTAAAAAAAGTTAAAAGCAAAAAGTTGCTTCTAACACGCTTGTGCACACAAAAGTGCTAATCGTAACATAGTAACCCCCGCGATAAGTCTTTTGTTAATACTGTCACTTGCTTCAAGGAAACCTATTTAATTTTGCTAGACAAGCAGCAGTAGAATTTTATGCTACATTTATCTATACAATAACTTTAACATGTAAATGACTATTGTTTCTAGGGAGATGGAATTTATTTAGTACTTATCCTTAACGTAATATGGGGTTTGCTCAACTGAAACCAATACAATACGCCAACTTACGGAAAATCTTGTAGGCCCAAATGGAATTTAAAGTCATTTATGTAAACTAAAAAAAGACGTTATTGAATATTTTTTATTCCAGGCGGAGCAATAGGAAAAAAATTATACTGCTTTTATATAATAAATTTTTTAAAATAAATTTAAACAATTGTGTGACATTCTAGTTTTTAAAATATAAGTAAAAGAGAAAATTTTACTGAATCATTGAAAAGGTTCAATTATAGATGATGTTGGTCCTCAGCAAGTGGGACAATGAGCTGTGTTGCTTTTTTGGACTTGTTGAATGCAGGGCTGACAAAAAAAAAATGTCTGCAAGGCATTACTAATGCATTTTGTTCATTGACGGTACAAACAACGCACTTCGGTGACTCTGTTGAAGTAGAAGCTGGCAAAGGAAGACTCTCATCAACCTCGTTCATTGAGTTTTCATCTAAAGCACTAAAAATATTTAAAAACTTCAAATACAATTTTCCATATTTCAATAACTCGAGATCCCCAAGCAACCAAGATCTTGTTTGCAGGAAGGAGACAAAGTGCTGAAACTTTTCTTGCCCACTTCTTTACTTGAACTTGTGGCGGTATTCCCTCTGAAGACCAAGAATTGCTAATTGCTTGGTGATTGCATTTTCGAAATGAAACCTAAAGATAAGGGTTTAAAGGAGATCATTAGTTGATAACAAACTATGAAAAACTTGGATAACTTAGAAACTGGAAACTAAGTAATAACAAAGTAATAACTTATACCTGCAACCATTCACCAAGCTTTCACTCGAAGTTGTTTTTAAAGCATTCTGTAGTCCTCGTTTAAAATTTGACATAATGGTGACTGGAGAGAAATCTAAAACTTCTTTTATTTTGGAAAAAACAAGTTTGTATAGAGCCTCGGATTTCGATGTCATTAAAGCGCATACAGCTGGAACAGATGTTCCCCAAAGGTGAGGGTTATCAGGATCAAAATTCATCTGATCCTCATCTGGAATTGGATCTTCAAGTACTGCTGAATACTCAATAAAAAATATTAAGAGCTGATACCACTTGCTTTCCTCCATGCGTGGTGTCATGCTGAAAGTACAATAAATGTAACTATAACTTACAACTGTAAATAAAAGTGTTCTACCTAACGTTTTTAATATATCACTTTTTTTGTCTACGGGCTGTCCATTAATAACGTTAAAAAAATAATGAAGAAGGTGTCTAAATTTTTTTAAAAATTTTTTGCTAAGGGTGAGGGGAGGAGGTCAAGTAAAGTTGACATCAACAATGTTGCTTTATTTTTTTAATTTCGTTACTCAAAAAAAGAAAAATTTGTCTGCGTTTTTAGCGCAGCGTCTTTATTTAGGGGAGAAGGGTTATCAAAAATTGAAGTAACTTTATAGGGGAAAGAAGTGTCTCTGGAAATTTAACAAGTTGTTGACATGGGGGAGGGGGTAATGTAAAAATAGCCAAAAGTTTGTTGATGTAATTAATGGACAGCCCCCTAGATAAATATATGTTCTTCTAGAACATATGTTTTTTTGAAAAAGTTAAATGCATATGTATAAATACCTAAATGTTCCATCAACAAAACACACTTTGGCCGATTTCGCCTTGTTGATGACTAGCATATGCCCAAACAGCAATGCTACGTTATCCTGTTCTGCAACTGATCCCAAGAAAATGTCTCCATAGCGATGGCACTCTTTGTCGTTCAGAACTTCAGCAGCTTCATTAGGTGATTTTGGGTTTGAAGGCTCATTTAGTCTTCTCCTTTTCTGAAGACTTGGGATAATTTGACGAAAACTAACAGATTCAGAAACAACTGCTGGAAACTCACTCAAACTGTTTTGAAAAATTAGGCGCAGGTCTTTAGATGTTGCTTCTGCTTTTTTCTTCATGGTAATTTTAGCAAGCAGCACTTCAAAGTCTGTTTCTCTTGAACTGCAACTGTGATAAGTTGTAACCTGAAGTTTATCTTCATGAATAAAAGCTCTGCCTTTGCAGCTCATTCTTGTAAAAAAACGACACTTAAGATGCAGTTTGTCTTTATAAAGTTTATCTTTAGTGTATCCAAAATCACCAGACCAAAACACATTTGAATTTTTTTTTTCTCCTTCAGTTTCATTATAATTTTTTGATAAGTTCTCTAACGACATTTTAGAATATTGAGTTTCTTATAAGTTTCTTAAATTTTAAGTTTTAATTCGAACGTAATTTTATTGCACGTGCAAATTAAACTGTTTATTGCGCGTGCAAATTAACTGTTCATTTAAACTAGGGCTGTACCGGATTTAATTTTTCCAAATCCGGCCGGAGCCGGATTTGCCGGATTTTTACTAACAGATCCGGCCGGAATCGGAGCCGGAGCCGGATTTCGAAGCAAAACTACAGGAACCAAAATCCTGTATATCAAAATCCTGTATATACTTGGTGTTGAAAATGGTCAACAATGTTGACTATTTAGATCACCAAGTGACAGTTCCCGACGGGCATTTCTTTTTAAAAGTTACGATCTAAATGTATTTTAAATGTCTTTTAAACGTCTTTTAAACATTAATGTTTAAAAGACGTTTAAAAGACATTTAAAACACATTCAGAACGTAACTTTTATAAACAAATGCCCGTCGGGTTGTTTTCTATTAAACATCATTTTTGTTGTTTAAAAGTTTTATAGCAATTTCTATAGAAATTAATAGACATTTTATATAAATTTTATAGAGTTTCTATAGGCCATATGTTTCAAAAATTTAGAAAAACTCTACAGAACTTTTTTTCCCGGGATGTTGTCATTCCGCCACTGTAGTGAATCAGCGTGTCTATATATTTCTGATTCTTCCAGATATTGGCTTAGCTGAGTGTCAATGCCTGTTGGTAATTGTTGTTCATGTGCTGTGCCACAAGCGGGCGTAGACTGAATAATTTCATCTATATATATTGCCATTGTAATAATGATAATGTATAAGAATTATCCAGCCGGGATTGTTTTGCTGGATTTTCTTTATTTTTTTCAATCTAAAAAGGTTTCTCCTCAATGCCTTTGAAACGCTCATCTAATGAGTTGATTAGGATTGACTTCATAGTCTTTACACCTGCATTATTGCAGAATATCGTGTGTCTTCTCTTCAGAATTTTTTGTTGCGTTCTTGTTTGAAATTAGGCTTAGCTAATTAAATTGTAAAAAAATGTAAATACAGATACCAAAACAAACATGAAGTTCAAAAATTAAGTATTACGTATACATGTTATCACGGGTAAGAAAGATGTAATAAACATCCAGAAATCCGGCCAAAATTATGCCGGATTTGCTAACATTTTGCCGGAGCCGGATTTGGGCCGGATTTGTAAAAATGGCCGGATTTCGGCCGGAGCAGGAGCCGGAGCCGAAATTCGGTACAGCCCTAATTTAAACTGCTGTTCTCTTTTGTAGGTAATGCTAACTTTATTAAGCTGATGCGATATTAGAGCGAAAAGTTAGGAAATATTCATCGAACTCTTAAATAAGTTTCTTTTTGAAAAGTGACTTAGTATTAAAAATTTTTGTAAGATTTTCTCCTAGTACTAGTTTTTTATAAAATAAAAGTGTGATCATAAAATCATATTTTTGATGTTAATCATTAAAAAGAATTTTTGACAATTAAAAATTTTCGATCTTATTTCGTTTTTATTGTTTTCGACATTAACTAGAAAATCTTTTTTTTTTAATGTTAATTGTTAAAATAAGTTTTCGATCTTGTTCTGTTTTTATTGTTTTCGACATTAATCGGAAAATCACGTTTTCGAAGTTAATCATTAAAATGAGTTTTCGATCTTATTCTGATTTTATTGTTTTCGACATTAATCAGAAAATCTTATTTTCGATGTTAATCATAAAAATGAGTTTTCGATCTTATTCCTTTTTTATTGTTTTCGATATTGTTTCACATTTGTGAATTTCGATATAAAAACTTTTCGACATTAATCAGAAAATCACATTTTCAATGTTATTCAGTTAAATGACTTTTCGATCTTATTCCGTTTTTATTGTTTTCGATATTGTTCCAAATTTGTGAATTTCGGTATAAAAACTTTTCGATATTAATCTGAAAATCACATTTTCGATCTTAATCATTAAAATGAGTTTCGGTCAGTTATTTTTCGTTACTAATCATTTTTTCGATTAGTTAATTTTCGATACTATTCCGCTTTCCCCAAGTTTTGAATGTCAATAAAACTACTTATAAAGACACATAATAATAAGTTTTATTTATTCTAGTTTTCAAAAAATATCTATGTTAATATGAAATTCTAAAAAATAAGCCATTAACCAGCGTTTCTTCCTAATTAGCAAAAATAAAAATTCAAAAAACGTGGCACAGAATTTTAGCACTTTTTCGGTTCCGTAAAACGCAGATTTCCGCATTCCTACTAAAAACCGTATCCTAGATTCCCACCTCTCTAAAGCACATATTCTTTGAATAAACTCGACTGGACCAACCTGAGTTTAAGGGACCAACCCGTCCTACATCAAAATAATTTTGTTTCATCAAGAGAAAAAATAGATTTCTAAAGATGTGTCAATCTTAAACCATTTTACCTTACTGAAATTTACTGATAGTTACTGAGATTTTTACCAAGGAAAAAAATTGTTATAAAGCAAGCTTACCATTATTTAAAAATAGGAATACGTGCAATTCATAAAGAATTGGGACAACTGTACACAATAGATTAAAACCGGTAACTCAAAGACACTAAAGATGTAAGAAAGGGTGTAAGAAACATAAGTAATACGAAACAAATTTTCTTCAAAGTTAGCAAAGAACTTTATCTATGAAAGTAATAAACCATACCAAATTTAATAACAAAAATCATTCACAAATAATATAATAAACAGAATATCGTTGGTGTAAGAAACTTCAAGCAATTTATTTTAAATATCATAATTAAGAATAGATTGTGACGTCAAAAGAAACTAAATATATATAGTTAATACTGTAAAACATTTTGTTTATTTTTGACGTGTAATTCAAGCAAATACTTTTAATATATAAATAATACTTATGAATTGTGAAATCTTTTAAGGTTGTTGATTTTAAGAAAATACTGGCAACACTCCCTAAAAAGTTGATAAAAACAAGTAAAAAACAAAATTTTGTAATTGTAAATTAAAAAAAAACTTATATAAATGAAACGTTCCTGTTTATGATGTATGTAACCTAACCATTTTATTGCAATGTATTGTTTATAAATCCAATTATTATTTTCTATGTAATTTATCTGCGAACTTATAATATTTCCAGGCGGTCTAATTGAAAAAATAAACCCCTAGTTTTTGAGCACACTAAATTCGGAATACTTTAAGTAATACTTTGTTGTTTTTTTGAATAGTTTAATGAACAAATGATTCAATGGAGATAAAAAAATATATAGTTTGCTTATGTTTTAGTCGGAACAGTCAAATTCAAAGCATCTACTGGCAGTTTATCGCTTTTCTTTGCAGGCAGTTCTCTAAGTGATACCAGAATTAGATGTTATTAATAGCGTATTTTGCAAATCTATATTTAACAGGAAATACGCGACTGTTTCTTATGATTTAGTATGATTCTTGCAGAATCTTTTGCAATTTTTATTTTGAGCTTCTTGAGATTTTTTTGAGAGCTGGTCAACGGAAGAATACACAAATTTTATAACTTCCTTACCATGCCTATAAAATTTTGTGCACTGTAACATGTAAAGTTGTGCCTTATTAGGAAAAGTATCAAGAGTTACTTTGAAATAGAAATGTAGAAAGTGACAATCTTTTCACCTTGGGTGTATAACAATTTCAAACTTTGAAGCTTTGTTATTATAACTTTTGCTAGCCTTTTTAATCTCACGGAGTGTAAAATAATTTTATGTTACAAATTTGTGTGTTATTATTATTATTATTAGGCATTATTCTGTAATTTCGATACATCTAAAATTAATTTCTTTAATAAAATTGCCTGAAAATCAGGCAATTTTGATACCGACATGTTTTGGGGCAAAAGGAGACATTTTGTTTACATTTGTTTTACTCATATTTACTTTTTTTTATTATTATTTTAAATATGTAGTATTTTTATGTATGTTATGCACTTATATTTATTATATTTACTTAATATGTTTACATTTTATCTAAGAGGTTTATTTGTTGCATTTATTAATGTTTTAAACGGTCTAATAATGTAAATATTATACACAGTGAGTAGATTTGCAAATCTATAGACATTCAAAAAAAGGAATTTGTTTTTTGAATTTGCAAAATGTAGAGTTATAGTTTTTTTGAATTTGCAAAATGTAGAGTTTTTTTTTTTTTTCATTCTTTCATTCAAGTTTTAATATCAAGTTACAAGTTATTGAAGTAAATTATAAACAAAATATACTGTATATTCTGCAGAATTTCCGCCACTTTTTAACTCTCAAGGTATTATTTAGTGACGTAAGTCCATTTATTATCAAAGTAAGGAAAACTTAATTTAAAGAGACTTCCATTACAAATTTAGAAGATTACTTTTTGTATAAAAAAGATTGTAAAGATGATAGAATTGGTGGGGGCGTGGTAATATACATAGATATCAACTCTATATCTTATCAAGTTGAAGATAAAACTCTGAGTTCCGAGAAAATTGAACAAATATGGATTGCACTTGTTATTTTTAACGATAGCTACTTATTAGGATGTATATACAGACTAAATAAAATAGTTGTAATGGTAATCTCTCATAAAATATTTAAAAATCCAAGACCCAACGTTGATAAACGCAATTTCAAGAATATTTATGAGAGACTTCAATTTTCCAAACATTAAAGGGTCCAAAGTGTTGTCAAATCAATTTAAAACGATGATAACTCTCATAAATACATATTTTACAAGAGAATAGATAATTCCAAAGAGAATAGATAATTCCAAATTGAATCTCATCTAGTTCTAGGAAATATTAAAACAGGGCACTTTATTTTAAGTTACAAAATTTGTTTAGATTAGGACAGTTTCGGTGTTCTCAAATTTTTA